CATCCTTTATCCTTGCACTGCAGATGCTCTGTTTAACTGTTTTCTCGCTATTGAAGCGTTCAGTTTTTCCATTTACAAAGTCCTTCATCTAGCAAATGCCATGTGCCATGGCGCAACGCAACTGAATCTTAAAGGGAATGTGAGTCAAGACAAGTTTGGCTTATTCTAAAAACACATCCATAACTCATTAAGAGAATAAGCTCAATCCTGTTAGACCATGCACCGCGGCGCAGAGAGTAGTTTTCCGTCCTCAAAAGAGCAAAATTGCTTTCTGACACTCCCTTAATGCTTTTGCGCCCTGCACTTTTGCGCCTGGGTCGTTAAAACAGAGCCCTAGAAGTTCATTATGCACTTACCAATTATTGTTGTTTGCATTGTGCATAAACATTATAATGATATATATATATATTTTTTATCAAGAAAATCTGTATCACAGTAATTATTGTTATCGTATTATTTCCAGATAATATATCTTTGGATTCAGTATCATAAAAGTCAAAGTAACGATTTTGTGTAACTTTACATAGTTTTAGTACAACTTTTTTTGTGTCACAACAACAAACAGAAAAGGTTCACTGTGCATTTGCTTTTTAATTTAGTTTGCATTGTTAATAAGCAACATATTGAGTTTTATTGTGTTATAAAAAAAAATTTGCATCACAATAATCAACAATATCATATCACTGTTCAAAATATCACTGGAGTCAGTATCACGAAAGTCATAGTAACGTTTTTTTGCTTTTGCTAGAAAAAAAAATGTTGCATGAACTTAGATCGTTTTACTACAATTTTTTTAGATTTTGTTGTGACAATAAACAATAGAAGTTTATTATGCTTTCACTGTTTAGTGTTGTTTACAGTATGGATAAAGGTTGTATTTAATTTTATTGTTTTATTAGGAAAACTTGTATTATGGTAATTATCTTTGTATTATTGCTGGATAATATATCACTGGATTCTATATCATGAATATCGAGTTTTGCTTTTGCTAGAATCAAACAAGCAGTTGTTGCATATCCTTAAGTAGTTTTATGTTTTAAGTAGTAAATAGTATTTACCTTAAAAAGTTTCACAACAATTGACAGTAAATATTCAAGTTTTCATTCATCAAACATCAAGTTCATCATTCAGTTTTTTTATCACATTTCATCAACAACATTTACAACAGTAATTATCGTTATCATTATATTGCTGGATAATACAATATCATAATTCGGTATCATAAATGTCATAGCAACACTTTTGATTTTCCTAGAAAGCAGCTTCAGATCTTAGATTTAGTAAACTTTTATTTTAAAATGATTAAAACATCACATTTTGTTATACTTTTGTAGCGTTTGCGGTTTAATATTGCTTGTATTGTGCATAAACGTATTGGACTTTAATTTAATGATCTAGGTACAAACTCTAAAGCGCTGGGTGCAAAAGAATTAAGGGCGTGTCAGAATCCACTTTTGCTATTTTAATGATAGAAATGCACTCTGCGCTGCAGTGTGTGGTCTAACAGGGTTGAGCTTATTTTCTTAATGAGTTATGGCTATTTTTTGCGAATAAATCAATCAGAGTCTCATCTCCCATTCCTTTTAAGAGTCAGGTGCGCCATGGCACATTTGCTATTTACATGGCGGACTTTGTAAGTGGAAAAGCTAAACGCTTCACTAGTGAGAATGCAGCTAGGTGGATGAAGAATGTGCAGTGCGAGGATGAAGAATGAGCCTCCTCCAATCTGCCTCTTTACTTTCTCTTTTTCTCTTCCGTCAATAAGGAAACGGTATCAGCCCACATAATTAATTAAGTTTAAGCGCAAAGATTTTTTTCAAAACTATTTCTAAATTCAGTTCTGATTTCCAGCAAACGAATAAATGAACAATAATAAAGAAGTGTGCTCAAAAAAACTGAGTTATATTCAAATACACATGCTGTGCCCCACATGGTCTAAAACCTGCAGGTGGACAAATCTAAGCTTGTTTTTAATAAAGCAAATATAAATATAGATACAATAAATAATACTGCTAATAATGATAACATTTTTCGAAAGCAAATTGCTATGAATTAACTGAAAAAGCCCCCCAAGATGATAAAGGCATGAAAGTATGGTTTTTAAATTTATGTAGGGTAGAAAATAATATGTTTTGTAATATTTTAATCCTTTATATTTATATCATATATCTATTCTTAATATTTTAATTATATTTCATATGTAAAAATATTTGTGTATTGCTCTACATCTTGTGTGTATTAACCAGTGTGTAAGCGAGGCGCACAACTAACGCGCTCTGCACTGGACAATAGACCGGCTTTGTTTTGGTCTATTGAAAAATCTATTATAGTTTCTCAAAATAGCAACACACCAGCAGCGAGCCTCAGAACGTATTTCTTTTTAGACCAGAACGCCTATGGGTGCACATTTGAGTGCAAATGCATTTGCTATTTAAACAGCGTGGCACAAAACGTCAAAACAACTCTTGCGCTAGCTGAAACTAGCTAGAAAACAAATGCAGTTGTTGCATAACCTCATATAGTTTTAGTTTTAATATGCATTACACTTTTGCAGAATTTAAAACTTAAAATGTTTAATTGATTAACGAATTAAAATGAGGTAAAGCAACATTAAAATATTTGTTGTCTTGACCTTTTGTGACCTTTAGTCATTGATTAATAAGATAGCACCGGATTCAATATCATGAATGCCATAGTAACATTTTTGTGTTTGCTCGAAACAAACAACAAGTTGCATAATCTTATATAGATTAAATAGCTTGAATGTTTTTCAGAAGGTGTTGCGGTAAAATCTCAAACCCACTGCAACCGATCCTGATGTTATGCAAACCAGTTTTCTAGTGCAAATGCTTGCCGTCACTTTACATACTCTAAGAGTGTCCGGCAGCGTCTAAAGAAAGAAATCATAAATGCAGAATGGAAAGTGGAGCAGGACTGGAATGTAACTTGAATCCAGTCGACGCAAAAAGAGGGGGAGAGAAATGTCCGATCTCGTATGAAGCTCTTCATGCTGCATCATCATTGCTCTTCAATGCATGTTGTTAATGGTCTTTTCCAATAAGAACAATCTCTGATGCAGATCCTTAGGAAATAGTTAGTCGGTAATCGCTGTGCATTAGCAAGGATTATATGCAGAGGTTTTGACATGGTTTCAAAGCCATTGACAGCGAGCCGCCTGGGCCGGTGTCAAGCCGCTTCCTTTAAGAGCGATGGCGACAAGTGTGAATGGTTGGAGATGGAGGGTGGGATGCATACCCGAATGTTCTCGCTCCGCATAAGGAGTCGGATGGCATATAAGGTTACCCCATGAGACTTTTTAGCTCACTGGAGATGCTATGTTTATTTAGGGGAATGCTGATGCTTATTGGAGTTAGCATGCGGCTAACACATTAAGAGAGAAGTCTGCATTGCGTTTATAATGCAACACACAAATTCTGCATGCAGATTTTTTTTTCATCTAGCATTTAAAAAAAGTGTTCTGTTGTGGCATTTTGGGTCCCATGATACAAAATAAGTTTCTCTTGGCAAAAATATATGTTAATTATATGTTATATGTTTTTAATTGAAAATATTTTTAATTTCAGGCTAAATTTTATTTGTAATATTTTTTTTAGTAAAGAAAATTCTATATTTTAAATATGGTTTAGGATGAAGAAAATATATTTTCAACCTTAAAGTAGAGTGTTAATTAATACAACTTTTTTTTATAATATATTATATTATATTATATTATATTATATTATATTATATTATATTATATTATATTATATTATATTATATTATATTATATTATATTATATTAATATCCTAAGACTTTTTAAAAATATAATTTACCCTCCCAAAAATTTTTATCCGAGAAAGTAGATGTACATGTAACATTAATAAAACCTTCATTTGCACAACAAATGTGTATTCTATATTATATTCCATTTCATTTCATTATCCATTATCT